GGCGCCGCACGGCAGAGCGGCGATACAGCTTTTCCTCTGTCGGTAGCAGCCGGAACCGGGCTCGCCGGGTGCCGGGGGTGCTACAAACGTTCACACCTGAGAGCGGTGGAGACCACCTGGGCGTCTTTGTTAGCTTGGGCTGGAATTGGGCAGCAGTTTCAGGAGGTGCGGTGCAATTGCACAAGCCTCGTTTCCTGAATGTGGTTCTGTTGTTTTGAACGCGTTTGTTATTCCAGCCTGCAGAACTTCAAAGATTCTGGACAAAAGATGGATGGACATATTTATATGTAGCTGCCTGTTACCAACATTGGTTATAACTATACCCTTGAATTAATTGACCAGCACTGTATGCTTGCTGAAGACACCATAATCCCTTCATATATAGGGACAATTATACCCATGCAGCTGTAATCATCATGTAATTCATGTACCTCGAACCAATGTGGTGTCTCCAAGCACACCGTGCACATGCACCGTTTAGGGAATTGTTTTATTGTGTCCTTTACCCAGCTTGTTACCTGTGAGGAGCACAGTTCCAAAAACTGAACAGGAACATTGAGCCGAGGTCATTTTATTAGTAACAAGCCTGAAACTAACTTCTCTTTTAGTACAAACGTTTGTCAATTCTGAGCAATTTATTTCAAAAAACGTATACAAAAGAGTCAATCATGCATGATACTCCTTTGTCTTCAGAATGTCAGACGCGAGACCAGCCCCCAGCCACATCAATCTTTACTTCAGTTTTGCTAACAATGGGAGATGTAGAGTTGCTTAATTCAGTCAGCAGTAATTGTGTCTACACTGACTGCGCAGGGAGAAGTTCAAGGCTGTATGTCTACAATGAGTTTGAAAGCGTGGCCTCTGACATGCACAGAATGTCCCACACAATATCCCACTCATTACGTGTGGCACCAGGCACATCCAGCTATGAGGGTTACAGAGCCCGGGGAACAGGTAGGGTGATGAAGCATATCGTGCCTATGGATGCTTTGGAGGGGGTTGTTTCAGCTGGCAGACAGACCCAATGTGTCCAGCCTACAGACTGGTTGGACATCTGCTGAAATGATGCCAGTGACTCCTGCTCTGCAGAACGTAACAGAACAATCTGGATAAAGGAAAAACAGAATATATAAAGGAGACACCCAGTGAAGTTTCTTGAGGATCACAGTCTCGAACTCCACCTATGTTGTTACAAGAGGCACTACTGATAGGCTCTGTTAGAAGAATGGTACAATGCCTGGATATACCCAGAGAAGTAATTCAGCTGATGAGATCTGGAAAAAGCCTGTGTGTTGCTGCTATTGCTGTCTTTTGCTGTGCATCCCTCTTGGTGCACACACTGAAACCAAGATAAGAGCTGGGAGTTGGGCATGCAGCACCAGCTGAAAGTAACGTTTCTCAGAACCCTCTCAGAGGGAGTGTGACTCGTCTGGAGCCAGACAGCAAAGGCTCTTATATCGTAAGTAGATTGCTACTCCAAAGAGAGGACAATAAAAGGACAACATTTCCCATGCTCCACCCTGGTCCTTCCTTAGGTCATGTTTATAATAGTGAGATTAAAGTGTCCTCCCTGAATCCAAGGGGAAGTGTCATGGCATTTATTCCTTGAGTGAACTGGTGTGTGCAAACCTCATTAATTATTAGATTTTCTTCATTGTTCTTATACATTCTCTGTAGTTTACATTAATCTCACCCCATCTCTCATACAGTAAAATAGTTCCTGCACAATGGGTGCCTCCTCAGATAGCTAACATTTGCCAAAGTTCTGGAGAACAAAAAGGAAGGAGCAAGAAGGAGTGACGGAAAAGGAAATCATGCTGGAATGAGAAGGATGGAGAAGTGAGAAAAAGGAGTTCCTGAATACTGCTGCCACCACTGCAGGCTGAACCTCCAAGGATCCAGGCTGATGCTGGGAGGGTTGTACTGCAGCCTGCAAAGGCTGGAGGGGTCACTGTGGAAAGCTGAGCACAGATGGCTTTATGCCTCTTTCACATATGCCCTGTCCCTGGCACTGCCTGGAGCTTAGTTTGTTCTCCTAACATTTTAGAGAAGTCTCAGAGCTGTCCTGATTACAGTAGCCCACCAAAGGCCCACTGCAGCCACTTCCATCACCACGGTCCTGTGCTGCTGTACTTCCTCTTAGCTTGCTCCTTCCTCCCTTCAACCACCTCTTCTGCTGAAGATACGACACTTTCCCCAGGACAAGGATGTTTCCATGATGTGCAAAGCCTACTGTGCTGTTTCCTACATCACTCTGTCCAAGTACTCAGCTATGGTGGGAACAGAAAGACAACAAACAGGGAGTGGGCCAATATTTCTCATGCCCAGTATCTGAAACTGCTATTTGAAGAATGGCTGTTTGAGATCTTTTGTCTCTGTGTTCCCCTTGATACTATTGCTTCAGTCCAGCAGTCCAGCAGTATGTGTCTGGTGTCATCTCTCTCTTCCCCTGTTCTCCCGCCCCCATACTTCCCTCTGCTCTTTCTTCTCCTTTTCATTTCTCAGCCAGCAGGCATCTGCATAGTTTTCACTTGACCAAATACTGTGAAAATGCTCAAGAAAAACATGTATTTCTGCCTATTACTGTAGAGCTCATCTCTTTAATGTTCTGTAAATAAAGATGTCCCTACTGCTGTGCCTTGTAACTAACATGACACTAAGACTGAATAAAATACCCTGCTTCTTCACTGAAAATTAATAAATGACCTGCAAGGGTAGAATATGCAAAAAGTTTAATAACAGAGCAGCTGTTCAAATTTTCACCCCCCCCCCCCCCAAGAGATGGGAAGTAACCTGCAGGAAAACGTATATCTGTGAGACATTTACCATCAGCCTTTAATTAATTGGTGATGGACATAGAAAGATGCCTCAGGTAAGCAGAGGAAACCTACTTCAAATAGCTACAGAAAAAGGTAAATATAACAAATGGAGCACATAATGGTTAGTTATGTCTTGATTGTTTCCACCATGTCCTCTAGTCCTGCCATACCTGTTATGAAGGCAGAACACTCAGCATCCCACTTCCTTTTCCTGAACACTAGATAGACAAAAGAATAGGCAAATAGGCAAAAGGACCGTGATATTGAGGCCAAGAAGACACCTGGCAGCCACACTGAAGATTATGTATCTTAAACATTAACCACACCTGACTTCCTGCAACCTCTTGCCAATTGTGACTGTTGCAGCTGGATAAACAGTTCTCATCCAATACCTGTATGTGTGTGACCGTCATCTGGTTGCAGGATTGGCTACAAACTCCAAACTCAAACTAGGAAGTTCCTTGGTGCATTTCGGATAATTTCCTGGACAAATAATGCATGAAGAGCACAAGGGTTATTTCTTACTATTCATGTAAGTTAGTATCTGCATATGCCAGGACTGTTGCAGAACATATCAAAGCAGTACCATCACTGAAAGGCAATGTCTCCCCCAGTCAAAGCGTAAGGCAAGAGATCACAACGGAGTCTACCAAACTGAGATGTAGGGGAAATAATGAAATGCTACTAATATGCATGCTCGGCTGTGATCTCTTCCACCAAGTCACTGGCCAGTTCTTTGCAGCTTCCTGGCAACGGTGTGTTGGAAGGAAGGAGTTGAAAGAGAAAAATTATTTTGTTCTGTGAATGGAAAGGCCTCCTCTCAAGCACAAGAGCATCAGAAGTAGTATGGAGGTGTGTGCTTGAAAAACATGGGCAACAGATGGTGGCACCAAGAGATGATTGGAGACATATATCACTCGTGTTACTGAAGGGAAGATGAAAAGTTGCATAAGGACAAACTGTGAAAGCCCTCTTGTCAATGAAGTCAAGAAGGCTGTATTTCATGCACTAGGGGCACAGCATCAGCCAGTGGAGTTAATCAAAAAAGACGGATGATGTGGTCAAAGTGAGCCAAAAAAAAAAAAACCTTTGCAGCTACAGCATGAGAAGCCAGAAAAGAGGATAGAGGATGCTGTGATAACCACAGTGTGAGGAGATGGTAGCAGTAGAGATGTACTGGAGAGGCGTTCTCTTCAAGAAAAAGACTGTAATGCAGCCAATGCTGATAGGGAAGTGGGAGTTGAAGGTGAGAGCTATATTACGCACTCGAGCCAGCAGTGTCTGATTGTTTCCATATATTCTTCCATCTGCTTAT